ATACACACACGCACATACAAACGTACACACGCACACACATACACACATACAGAGATACACTCATACACATGCATACGTATACACATACACAGATACACACACACATACATACATACGTATACACATACACACATACATACGTACACACTTACACTCGTATACGCATACACATACACACATGCTCACATACACACATGCACACATACGCACATACACACGTATATACATACACACATACACATATACACATATACACACGTATATACATAGACAGATACACACATGCACACATACATACATACACACATCCACACATCCACACATCCACACAACACACATACACACATCCACACATCCACACATCCACACATACACACGTACACTGCTAACTGTATGCCCTCCTCGCCCTCAGCACGAATGTCTACGAAATCTGCTGAAGACTGATTCAGGTTTGGGCTCTACCCAGGTTTTAGAAACACAATCACAGTTCCACTAATAAGAGTTCTTATTAAATAATAGAGCTTAGGAACTCTGTCTCTGATTCAGGGAGGGGTTTGGGCTCCACCCCCAGGTTATAGAATCACAAACATACATAGTTAATACAAAACAAACAACATAATAGAGTAATTTATTAAAATAATACATGGCCATTCGATCCCCTATATTTTATTAATATTTAAAATATGTCTTCTACTCTTTCTAGCGAGGGTCATGAATAATAGAGCTTTTAAAAAACCCTAAACCCCAAAAAATAAAAAAGCCCTTTTATACATATGTCGAATTTAGAAGACTATGCCTTTTATGGACGCATGCTGTGTACAGGTTGCTACGATGGATAGTCCAAAATTATGGTTTTATTGGATGTATGCAACTATGCATTGCCGGTCCAGTATCGGATTATTTGATTGGACATCCAGGTCCCAGGATGTGTAAAGTAATGATGACTATCTGGATCAATCATATATGCTTTTATGGACGCCAGCTAAGCTCATAGCGCTTTACGTACTAACGTTTAAAAAATCGGTCCGTTATACGTTTATATCGGAATAGTCCTCTGGGCACTACGTGAGGTGCAGAAATAAAGGTCCCAGAATTTGCTCCGATTTTTTTTATGGCATCATGCCTCATGGCTATTATCAATCATGCCAACCGCCACTAGGCACCAGCCCGCCAATCGTTACGGCAAAGGAAATGCCCCTCCAAAACTGACGCCTTATCAATAGATCGTGAAACTGTGAAACAGTGAAATGAACGGCATGTGTGTCGTTTTCAGTGTTGACTGTGTTGAGGTTTGTTAGCATGTTCTTCTAAACTATACAGATCCCAAAATATCGTACTGTTGTTGTGAACTTGGACATGTATTACAATTAAAAGCTACACTGATAACGAAAGGTCATATCCAGCCTTTCAGGGCGTTCTTCAATCCGCGCTGAAAAAGTCAGAACCAATACTAGGGATCGCAACCTGATCCCGTCAAGTCATTGTACATCATTTCCCACAAGTAGGGGAAGAAAGAGAAATTGCCGTGTATATACTGTAAAACATGGTCTACCTTCACAAATATTAATCAACTACGACTGCACCTGGCAAACAAGACTAGATGCAATGCTCCGCCCGAGATCCGAGAAAGGTACGTCAAGATACTATACAAGAAAGACGATATGCGCTAGGCCCGTCACGAATTTAATGAAAGCATGCTGGACAAGTTTCTGCCGGCGACAACACGCAACGTAGACTAGATGATACGGCACTCGGCAGCTTTGCCAGTATGAGAGTCGAGAAAGCGTACGATGCCCTGGAAAACTTGGTGTATGCGGGAATCATCAGTGTCCACTTCAAACGAGCTATCAGCGCAGTCACGACCGCAGGAAGTGCCTATTAAATCATAGGTCCTCATACGGTTTTAGGGGATAACCTCGTACACTCAGTTCTGTGAATGCGGAATGAGTCGTACCAGAAGACATCAGCGTCTTTGGAACAGGGTTGGGGATCAATGGCCATAGATTCCGCAACTGTGAACAAGGAGTCTCTTAACGGAACCACTATACTCTCTCCTAATCTGAAACATCCTATTTCGTCGGGTGTTAGGAATATGTCAATGCTGAAGGTGAACAAGGAGTTCCTTACTGGAACCACTATACTACGTAAACTCTTAAATGGTTTTCAACGGTTTTTATTAATTAAATACCTTTTCCATTTTACCAGATATTTGGACAAACCCATTAAAAAGTCCCAGTAAAATACCAAGTATAAGATTTGGTCTAGTTCTATTAATAGAACTATGTTAACCTTCCAAATCTATTTTTATCTGAATACTTCGGTAGCGAGATGGCTCAACCGAACATAGGTTTCTAAAGACAATTAGCGTTGCTTCCCGTTCAGCCAACCAAATGTGCCAGTCTGATGAAGGCTAAGTCGGTAATTCTTGATAAGTGGCAAGTTATTGGTTAATGCAATAACTAAGGACATCAAGAGTATTTTTTTCTTTTTCTTTAAATCCATTCTAGTGATTAGATCTCGGTCATGCAAGAAACTACTCCTCATATCGTAGATGGCGTGCAACAGAGGAAGGCGAAACGCAATCCACAGGTCAAAGATATAATTAACAGTAATGAATGGTTCTACAAAGCATTGGCTACCACCCGCAGTCTTTGGCCGTTGTTTCAGCTTCTACGGAATACCGATTCAGAGGCTAGTGTTTCGTCCAACTTATTTTGCTGGATGTATGACGTTGGTAAGTATTATGAGAAGTTCATTGCTGGAATTGACGCAGAGTTGAGCCTAGTTTGATTGCAGACAGCTTAAAGTCTCAATGACAATACTCGAGCTCATTGTGAATTCCTAAGTAACGTGCCTTTTCTTCAATGTTCGGCTGTTCTTGATCCCTACAACAACTTCTCGTATCCCTGGGAAAAGGCAGCATATATTGAATCGATAAACGCGGTTATTGGTAGCATATGAACGTTTCAGCGGAAGTACGACGGGCGTCAAAAGCTTGGCCTCCAACCGAGTGATGAGCTCCCGGAAGATTCAGTGTCCAAGATGTCAGAGGATGAAGACAACTTTCTGCAGGCCCTTGAGGACAAATTTACTCTCTTCTTTCAAAAAGAAATGCCCATTCGCAAATCGGAGTGGTGGTGTGGTCTCAAATTAGATTATGGGGCTGTCCGACTATTTTCCCATACGCGAAAAAGACATTTGCATTGGTTAATATGCCAGTGCATGAGAGGCATTAGAAGAATTGTAAGGAGTTGTGTGCTAAGCAAAATTGAAGGTTGGTGATGTAAGTAAGGATCAATACAATATGGTTGAGGCTAATGAATATACCGGTCCACTGCAAAAAAAAAACACTTGCATAATCACAGAGTTGCGCTCTAACTTATATCTGACAGATACCGGTACATGGAGAGTGAGTGAAACAGTAGCTTGGTACGATGGTTTACGTTTCATGATAAATGATAAAACATATAATCAGTTATCTCGCTTTTATGCACATGATTTTGTAATAATGTCAGATGATGAAACAGCCGGCGAGAAAATTCCGGGTTTATCCCAGCAAAAGCTAGTCGTGCACGCCTACATAGAGCAATGGAAGAATACATGTACACATATACTTACTTATATATGTATATGTAAATGTTCGTCTGCATGTATAAAGACATACATAAATACACAAATACAAAAATGTACGTGTACAAATACATATACATGTAGATGTACATGTTACAAGTACATATACATTTATATGTACATATATATTTACATGTACATATACATGTACACATACATTTACCTATATATGTACATGTAAATGTACGTCTACATATATATATATATTTATATATATATATATATATATATA